ACGTCAATGGCCAAAAAATGGAAAAATACTACGTTCTTGGGACCACGCTCGTAAGTCTCATCTGCAATGTTGTGCCATACGCATCTGGCAAGCTTGGGTACGTCTCCTCTAATGATTCCAAAATCCTGGGGGCCCTGCAAGTTCGATGGGACGCCACCAGCGGCACATGCTGGTACCGCAGCACAAACCCGGCGGACAGGATGCGCTGGTTCATCAGCACGCAGACTTTCTGGATTATGCTTTCTGCGGTTGGGGAGGTCGGCGCTTTTTTAATTATCCTCGGGTACCTCCTTGCGTATAAGGTGCGCCTTTGCAATTGGCCCTCCCACCCATTCATGCGCCGCCGTAAAATGTTGACCGCACACCGACAGCTCGACATGCGGCGCTTCCACACGGATACTCAGTCTAAAACCACCTATTTGTCCGAGGCGTCGCACCGCGCTGCTTCGACATTTCTGAAGTTCCGAAATGTCATCCTGCGCATCGGTGAGTTTACTAAAAAAAAATCCAGTACTGAGACCAGTCGTACATGCGTACACAGGCCTCTACCCCCTGGTCTCGTGTCTCCTTAACACCTCCACCTCTGTAATCGAGGTGTACCGGATGAAGTACCCCGAGAAGTCGGCATTCGTGCGTCTACTCCATATCTTGGCCATTTAAACCTCATTGATAATGTGCGTAGAACTGGAGACTGAACTTCACAGGTACAATTTAATCACTGGTGTATATATATCAGCATCGACCGCTTATTCCCAGCCCTCGCGATCTACTCCGGGCGCCCACTCATCTACGGACTGCTGGCCGCTACGGATCCGGTATGCTATACCTCTCACTCTTCTCACTCTCCCCTCTCCGGTGCTCCTTCAAGTTCCTTGTCTCCCAACTTCGGTTGAAGTCGAATATTGCTCATCCGCATCGATATCCAGTCGCTCCTGCGTGCATTAACCGCACTGCGCCACCCCGAGGACAAGTCTGAAACGCAGTCACATGGCCCGGGATGGCCTACGCCATCCGCCTGTCTGTCCACCGTCATTGGCATGCCACCATCCGAGGTCGACTGCGATGAGACGGACCGCGAGACGTCGACCGCGCCCACACTGGGAACAATTCTGGAGGAGGGAAAGGAGGGGTATTTGGACGAGGGGCATGATCAGGGCAGGACGACGACAAATACACAGGCGCCGACTCGGCGGGCGTCGATTGACGTCGTGTGCCACATCTAATTGCTGCGTACTCCTGCGTACTCTGAATGAGTAACAAATAGCCAACGACGACTCAGCGCTCAGCGGAGAGCCGACCCAAGAATATATTTATCGGTACAATAAACATCAGTACAGTAAATATAGCACTTCGCAGACTACACTAGGGCCCCAAACATTTAATTTCCGTTTGAACATCTGAGACTCTCTATGAGCCTCACTTGAAGAGAACTTGAAGTTGAGCAGGGCTGGTGAGCCCACAACGCTATAGTCTATATAAAACAGTGGGAAGGAGGAAGAGAACAAATAATTATCTTCAAATGGAAACTGTGCCCAAAAGCATGCAGCGGGAATTTTGAACTACAGTCACCTGACACATTACCATATGTGGAAAACATCCCACCAGTTTTGAGCGCTACTGGGCCAGTATCAGCATATTCATCGGTTTAAACAACTCTTACACCATTCATAGAAGCCCTGACCTCCAAATACCTTCCATATTCCTTCCATATTTTCACTGGTATGGCCCCCTTAGTGATTGATTTTATTCAACCATTTATGTAAACCGTTTGACCTTCCGGGCAAACTAAATGGAAATAAATACGGTTATAACCGTTTGAAAACGTTTCCAAACGGAAACGATTGGAGCCTTGAACTACGTGCAAGAAATAAAAACATCTAGGAAATTAAAAGGAACGCAGGCGGGTGGGTGAGGGCAAAAAACAATGAGGGGCAGAGAGGCAGAGAGTGTCTAAGCAGGAGCTACCCAGGAAAGGAGAGAGCTTTAATTTGCTTTGCTTTGTGTCGGTGAGACCCTTCAAGACTGTTTTCTGTACCTGAACGACACCAGTCCTCCTCTATAGTGTCTGCTAATTTTCATAGCTTCGCGGCCATCCTTTTTTTGAGTTCATTCATTTTAAAGTTCGCAATACTCTCCAAAAGCACTGATCTTGGTCTCAGGCCAGCGGGAATGTAAATACATCATACATTCAATCCATCGAGCTTGAGCGAAACTTGAACGGTGGACTTGGAGGAGGATGTTTTGGCTGTAAACCTTCAAGGTTTCTTTCCTCGATTATTCGAAGCTCATCATTAGCTCACAGATTGTCTGGGTTGTGCGAAGCGTCAAAAAATTAGACAAATGGGTCCGTCTAAGTACCCTTCATCTACAGGGGTGGGAAGAGAAGGCTATGCCCCTAATATGTCGCCTCCTTGTAGTCGATGTAGCCCAGTGCAGGGTCAACACCTTCCGCCCCATAAAAGGTCCTGAAATCCGGCGCGTTGTAGAGCGGCTTCCTCGCCTTGATGCGTCTCCCAACATCCGGGTGCGTGACCCAGTTCATGCCCATGAATACCCCCGCAGCCGTTCCGCTGTTGATCAGCTCTTCGGCTTCAGAGGGAGTGACGCCAGAGTTGACGAAGACGGGCGTGTCAGGCAGGAAGGGACGGAAGGTGGCGACGACGTCGTGCGGCGTGCCGCGCTTCTTGCCTATGTTGGATGGAGGTAGCAGTAGCTGAGCGACTGAAATACCTAGGAGGGAAGCGGATTAATGCGTACCGTCAAATTCGGGATCGATCCATGCAGTGTACCGCATGAGGGTAACGTATGCCAGCCCCAGTTTGTTCACCTCGCGCAGCAGATGGCCGTAGGTGTCAATCGTGTCCTGCAGAGGCATCCCCATGTCATTGGAACCGTTCGCTGAAATATTTGCAACATCAGGAATTGAACCAACGGTGAACGAACAAAACTTTTCTTCCACGCACCAGGGCCAATTTTCAACGCGACGTCGGGGCCCCAGACGGCGACTAATTCTTTGAGGAGTTCGAGCGCGAATCGGGTGCGGTTCTCGGGGATTCCGCCCCATTTGTCGGTGCGGTGGTTGGAGGTGGAGTCGAGGAATTGGTGGACGAGGTAGCCGTTCGCTCCGTGCACTGAGATAAGTGTAATATAATATAATATACACAGAAATATCGCAGGAAGAAAAGAAAAGAAATTGCATTTACCTTCGACGCCATCGAAACCAGCTGCTTTCGCGTTGATAGCGGCCTCTTTGAATTGTGCGATCAGTACAGTGGGGTCGGCGATTTCGGTGGGCTGATAGAGTCGTGTTGAGGAGCAGAATGAGAATAATGATGAAGGTGATTCGTACCGTAACATATCCAGGCTCTCCAGGAATGAAGCGGAATTTTCCACCGCGGGCAGAAATTGCAGAGGGTCCGTATACCGGCTGGGCTCGGCAGTCAAATATGCGTCGAAGTATTAATATCTACTCGGATAACTCACCACACCGGCGGTAATCTGCTGGGGAGCATCAGGGTGGCTAAGGCGGCCCACTAACCACGGTAATGAGGAACCAGAACAATTGAACCGAAGATCTGACTTACGGTGCCAAAGCTAAATTCGGTAAATCAGCTTGAGTCTGCTCTAGGAAGACATGGATAATTGTTGAGAACGAGTTCCGAACCTGCGCGTAGATTTTGCTTCCGGCCTCATGGACGGCGTCGGTGATCTTCTTCCAGCCTGCGACTTGCGCGTCTTCCCAGATTCCGGGAGCGTCAGGCCATTCGGTCCTTAAGTCGAATCAGCCGTCATTCAGCCTCGGAGGATGAAACACTGAAGTAGTACTACCCTTGGCGCGTGATAAGGACACCCTCGGTAACGATCAGGCCGGCGCCGCCTTTGGCTCTTTGAACGTAGTATTTCAGCATGAGCTCATTGGGAACAGTTGCCGTGGCGCGGTTGCGGGTCAGAGCAGACATCCCTGCATACACGGTAAGCACAAATAATAATACACGGCCGAATTGAATAAAAAGAAATACCAAGTCTGTTTGAGATGGTAGTACTTCCGAGCTTCAAAGGCGTGAATAGGGCAGACATTTTGAGGATGTGTGACTGTTTGGATGTTGTTCAAGCGGGGTTCGTCCTCATTTATCCATCTCTTCTTATATTTTTGGTGGTAGAGGCTGTGACTTGTACTACTTACATTCAAAGAAATGCATATGAATCAGCTTGAAGCGAACGCTGAGAAAGCAACATTGATTGACAAAAAAACCTTTTATCCGGCCGGTAACGTGTTACGTCAGAGGTGTTACTCATCAGCAACGGCACGTTCAACTCGTTTCTTTCGGCATCGGCATAAGTAACTGAACATTGTATCTGACGCGACCGGAATGACGAACCAGCGGTGTTCATATTTCAAACCAATTTATTTCTCTGACCAACTCAACGGCGCCGTAAAACCCAGGGCTTGCGCCGCTCTCTGCTCAACACACTCTTCCTGAACATATTTTGTCTCACACTTCCGTCAAGTTCAAGTTGGCACAAAGGTATGTTAGAAGTATTCCGGGGTGCGAACTTGCGAGCTACCGAGTTCCGTATTAGGTTTGACAGTATTTAAATTACCACCCTTACGCATTTGTACCGGTACCATCACAAACACCGCCACGATACTTTCATATCCTCGTACTTATTGGGCTCTTACCGCATCTCGACTGGAGTCATCGAAACTTTGACAAGGTCGATTACCTACTGCGTGTTCAACTTTCAGGCCAATTTTTACATTTTATCCCACATAAGGCTCCAACCGTTTTCAGGTCATAACCTTTTGTAAACAGATTAATCATCCGTTCAGTTTACGATCGTAGTAAACGGTAAACAAATGGTTTCAACAGTAATGTTCGTGGGTGATTTGTGAACGTCTGTACAGACTCCACCCGATTTGCCGGGACATTTCAATAGGTCAGCGGGTGGGCGGAGGATCTTCCGGAGTTGCAGAGGACAGTGGACAAGAGGTGTACAAGGGTCAGATGGCCGAGCGGTCTAAGGCGCCAGACTAAGGATCAACTTCGATTGAAGTAGAATTTGTACCCACTGCAATCTGGTCCTCCGGGGCGTGGGTTCGAATCCCACTCTGATCAATGTTTTTGTTCGCCCCCGTCTTCTTTTTCGCCCAGACAAAACACAGTAGACGTTAGAATGCGAACAAGACCCAGATGCGAAAAATATGTGATTACATACTCAGCTTTAATGCATTTGATCCAGATTATTCTTTAGTAGTACTCTTACAGAGGCTATCAACAGTTCCGCAGACTCAGGAAGCCCCAATCCAATCCTCGGGTGACACAAGAAATGCAAAACCTGCTGAAAACCGAAATTTTGTGGATGTGCCCAAAGTTGCAAGCGGAGACATGCCGTTGTGGATGCCTAGTGGATTTCCCAGACCCAAGAGGGTACATGGGGCAGTTTAAGCAATGGCCCTAATATCCCATTAACGTCACAAATGGTGGTGGGGATGCAGCTGAAACACTATAGAACCTGATCTTTCGCAACTGGGTTGACTCCTCCATGAAAACTGAGCATAAAAACAATCAATCAAGCTCATGCCCCCAAACGACCAGGACAAACTTAAATCCCCGGATATATTTGTGCGCATACTTTAAGTAGGCTAATGGTGTGATATCCGTGCACTAAGTTGAAGGAAGAGGTATTGGAGTTCCATCAGGGAACATGAACTTTTGCAATTCCTAGCTTCTACTAAAAAAACTGAGGAAAAGGAATATCACCCTCCACAGATGTGGCTTATAAATCTTATGCAAACTCTTTCAGGCGTTAGAAGGGGGAAACAACATCAATTTAATGCCGTTACCATATTTGGAAGGAAGCGTAGTGGTATTGGCTGTTGTTTGTTCCGGCTGCGATCGATTGACCGACCTGATCTCAAGCAAGTAGTATTACTGGAGTAGTACCACCGATTTCACTGCCTAACAGGCGGAGCTTGAGGCGTCGGATATATTGATGCATCGGCTTAAGTGTTGAAATTGCGCGGCATGTGGCATATTCAATTTTCAATTTGCCGGTGACCCTCCTCGAAAATTGGCGAGCGAGAGTGTACCTCCGAATCTAACGTGATCAACGAGTCTCTGAGCGTCGTGGCTCTTATCTGACCGTATCGATAATGCTACCTACAAGGTTTGAATTTAATTCAGTCACACATGGAGTCTGTCTGTAAATAAACTAATACATATTCAGAACCAGTCGCTTGCGGGCTAGGCAAGGGGAAGTCGGGATTCGAAAATCGGATATGGGGTCGAAAAGTTTTTTTCGGCCCCAAGCTGACCCCCCCCCTCTCCTGCCTTATAGGGAAGGAGTTTCCCACCCCTAGGCCGGGCCGCTTTTCCCGCATCCAGCCGCCGCTCTTCAACTCACCTCCAACCACCTCCTCAAAATGAATCATGATTTTTTCTACCATCTAATGAGTGTCAGTGATAAATCTGAACACTCTGCACTCCAACAGCTCAATAATTTTTGACTCAAGAATCAACTACACTTCGCTTCACTCTGGCTTGGATCATGAAGGGTGTGGGCTCAGAGTGATAAATCTTCTGTATACACTCCTTGGACACTTATATGTCATTCTTACAACCAATTAACACCTCTCTCATACTCTATTAGCTGTTTTGAGCTTCTAAACTTTATGTACCACAAAGTTTTTTTCAGCCCGACCTGGACCCCCCCCCCCCCCCTCCCTATATCCGATTTTTTAATCCCGACCCCCCCTTGGGGCTAGGTATGTAGAAGCCGTGTTTCGTGCTATCCAAAAGCCGGAGGCCCGGCTCCGTTGAATATTTCGGACATCGAGTCAAGACGAGAAACCCAACGTATTTAAATTTTATTTGCACCGGTTTACGTCCGTCACGTTGTTTCGGCTAGGCTGTTTTCGGTCCCGCTTTGTCACGCTCAACGCCTCTTTATCTTCTCTTCTTCCTTTCACCGTCTCCCACCAAGATCCCTCCCCTGCACCCCTCAAAACCTCAAACAAATCCTCGAATGTCTTCCGCCGTAGTCGTCACCCAATCTCGCTCCCCGCGCGGCGCATCCAAGCGCGGAAATGGAAACAATAATCGCGGTCGCGGAAATAATAACAATCGCGGAGGCGCGCGCGGTGGAAAGCCGCGTCAGTCTCCGCAAGCGGTCGACGAAACGGCGCCTGCAAACACCCAGGAGGTGGCTGCCATTGCTGCTACCACTACTCAGGAAGAGGAGGGGGAAGACAAGACCGACGGGGCGATCTGCTGGATCTGCGCGGAGCTGGTCAAGTACTACGCCGTGTCCGAGTGCAACCACCGCACGTGCCACGTCTGTGCGCTGCGTTTGCGCGCCCTGTACAAGAAGAACGATTGTACCTTTTGTAAGGTCCGTCCCGTCCCCGTTCTCGTCCACGCTTTTTATCGACTTATTTATTCGTTCTCCGTTATTCAAGAACCCACAACCGACGATGGTATTCACGCCCTCCCCCGACGCCCTCTTCGAGTCCTTCGCGCTCGCCGCGATGCCCTTCAAAGACGCGAAGCTGTCCATCTACTTTGAGACGCAGGAGATGATGGACGAGACGTTGCTGCTGCTGCGTTTCAACTGCCCCGACACCGAGTGCGACTATATCGGGAACAGCTGGAGCGATCTGAAGCTGCATGTCCGCGCCGTGCATGGGAGGTTGATGTGGTGCGTTGTGTCTTCTTTTCCGTTTTCTTCGTCGGACCTCTTTGTACTCTTTCTTTCCGATGCTCTTTGTTTTCTTATTTTTGCGGAGGAGGGAAGGCGGGGCCATATACGACCGCGCACCGGCCCTCGTCGTACGTACGCTTGCTTAATCTCCCCGCTGTGGTAGGAGCTGCTGCGACTTCGGCCCTCGCTCGCTTTGGGCGCCGTAACTCCGCCCTTGCGACGGGAGCAGAGTGAACCCGGGCCCTGCGCATCGTCACCTACGCCCCTTCATTACGCTGGAACTGGGACCAGAGCATATGTGTGTCGCCCCGAAGGCCGGGCAGCGGACACGTTTGCGCGTGCGCGATTCCGTAACGGTCTTATCGCGGCGCACACGGACTGGAGGGCGTGTAGCGCGCTGCAGCCGGAGGTGGAGAGGCGCTCGTGGTGCGTGTGTTCTCTGAGCCTCTTCAGGCTAGAGACTATACCTGCCCCCGCCCAGCGACTACCTCCGAGCAGACGTGGGGACGCGGGGGCGCTCTCCCTCCCTCCCTCCCTCTTACGTTTCGTTTGCGTTTGCGTTTTCTTCCCTTCCTCGGGTGTGGTTATTGTCCCTCTGGCGAGTACCCGTCGTCGGCGCCGTAAGCGTCACTTTCTGCATGGGAGTGCGTAGGGTCATCGCCAGTCGCACCGTTCGCGCCTGCCTGCGTCAAAGCCGGGTGGCAAGGCGTAGTCCGTAGCCTATTGTGGTATACTGTGCTGCGCTGCCTGCTGGGGTAGAGGCGAAGATGCGATGCGATGCGGCCGTTGGTGAGGGTGTTTGTCGGGGTGTGCGGCGGAACCACGCACGCGTTGCGCTCGGCCTGCCATCCCAGGGTAGTGACGCGGCAGTACTCGCTTCTCCTCCACTATCCCAGCTACTACCACTGCTACCGCACATTCAGGATTGACTGATTGATTGGACGGGCCTGCGGGACGGGACGCAGACGCAGACGCACGCTGCTACTATACTAAACGCTTCCTTCCCCCCTTCCTTCCGGCATGGGGCGGAGAGGAGAGGCGGAGCAAGATATAGCCATGCCCACGCCCGTGCCACTCACCACAGATTGTCGTCCGCTCGCGTCCGACTTTGAAACCGTTCCTGCGACCCTTTGCTCCGTTTCCGTTGCGTGCCTTTCCTCCCTTCCTTGTCTTTCTTCATTTATTCAATTTTTATTTCTTTTCTCGTCGAAAAACCGTGTACTAACCTCAGTTATTCCCCAGCGACCTCTGCATCCGGCACAAAAAAGTATTCGCGCACGAGCACTCGCTCTACCCGCCCAACATCCTCCCCCTGCACCTCCCCTCTATGCTCTCCCACCAACGCGGCTCCTCACACAGACCGCCCGCCAAGGGCAAGAACAACGAGAAGAACGGGGACATCGACGGCGGCACGCACCCGCTGTGCGAATTCTGCCGCGAGTGCTTCTTCGGGCCAGACGAGCTCTTTGCGCACATGCGCGAGACGCACGAGGAGTGCTTCGTGTGCAAGCGCGCGGATGTGCGGGATCAGTAGTGAGTTTTTTTTGCTTTTTTATTTTTTACGTATCGCCTTTTCCTTCCTCCTTGGTGGTTTGCTCTTTCCCCCCCCCCCATTTTTTTTGGGGGGGAGAGGTGGCGTCTGAGTTCCCGTTTTCCCCGAGAGGGTCCTACTCGCCTGCGGACGCACGTTGCTGCACATCACGGCATATCGCCCCCTGCCGTGTGTCTATCTATATATCTGGCCCTTCCTTTTCGGGTGGCGTAGACGGCGCCTCGGTCGTGACGTCGCGCTACCTACCTCTTGGACATTGGGACGCGGGCGCACGGCTTCGGTTTCGGGACGGCTGGGGAGACTACCTCGCGCAGGTTACGGTACATCTTGATCTTGGCACGTGCGGCCTTCTCGTAGGCGCGGTGGTGGGCGGGACTACTTTTTTTCTTCACTTGGGCTTTTCGACGTGTTTGCGCTCGCCTTACTTCCGTGTCGTGTCATGCGCAGCACCTTCGCTGGATTAAACTCCTCGCGGGTGTGCTGGTGCTGGGGCTGCTTTTTCTTCACTTTGGCTTTACTTGGCTTTCCGACATGTTTGTGTTTGCGTGTCTTGCTTCAGTGTCGTGCCAAGCACTTTCGCTGGGTCAAAGTCCTCGCGACCGTGCTGGCGCTGATACGCCTGGCGTACCGGCACGAGGATGAGGATGAGACGCCATGCGAGCGGGGCGGCGGGCGGAGGGATCACCATACCCTCCTGTGGGATTGGTAGAGGGCGAGCTGGGCGGCCAGCGCTCATATATATATATAGTGTGGACGGTTTTCGCGTTTTCGCGTTTCCGCTTTCCTTTTTTCTGCCTTTTGCCGTTTTGTCGTCATGTCGCTTTCCGTCTCTGGGTGGAACGCGCGGTGTGCATGCGGTGCGTG